TCGTGAGGGACAGGATTTCAGCACAAGATAGTGACCATGTCTCCTCGAGGCGCAGCAAAGTTGATGGAGATAATCAAAGACTTTGAGCTCCTCGCGACGATTGATCGAAACCAAGGGCTGGGAGGGAGAGCAGGAAAATGAAAGCCAAAACAATGCCAAGAGAAGACGATGGGTTTCACAACAAAACACAAAGAGGAAGGAGAAGGAATGGATTGATTGGAGGCATCGCTATCGAGAGGAAGCGAGCACGCGAAAGATGAGAGAACTGTAAGTATATGGATTTCGAAGGATGAACAAAATGTATATGTTACAGGAAGAACACGAGTGAGTGAAGTTTTTCTTCTTGTTTATTCCTTTGGACAGCTCTCGCGAAAGCCTGAGTTGCCACGGAAGGCAGTGATTGATCGTGTCGGCATGGGCACAATTCCAGCGGCCGTACGGGGGTGTATCTGAGAATATGTACGGCGCGGTGAAATCATGTTTGCTGCGGTATTCTGTACGCGGTAGTGGTACAATACGACAGAAAGTGGTATGTGTACCTGTACACGCTGAGGGTACAGGTGTATGAATTTTCGTGCACACACACACTCCTCATAAGAGGGCACATTGGTTCTCAAAAAAATTTGAAAATCTCCGGTCAACTGATGATGGACAGTTGGGGTGTGCCCTGAATGCCAGGCACTGCATGTAATGCCACAGATTTGATAAACCAAAGCCTGCATGTTCTCATTGTCTTTATTGCCTGTCTCTAACAATATAATTAAATCAAAAGAATAATGTTAATAAGTCAAATTAAAACAACGATTAGAAAAAAAACATATGCTATCACTTAAAAGCATTCCCTCCCAGCAAACAAACAAGAACCTGTCTAAATTTTAAAAATGTTTAGAATTATGAATTTCAAGTTAATTCACTAATTTTTATATGCTTTGGCAAACTTTGACAAGCACGAGATACATAAGGGAATACTATTCCTTGTGAAATATTCAGGCATTATCTAGAATGTTTTTAAATATCAGTGTTTAATGTTAATTGTCCATTACCAATACCCTTTGTTTATAGGAATTAGTAAAAGGGCACAAAATATAAAGCATGTCTAATTTAAAGGTGTTTAAGTTATAGAATAGTGCTTTGGCAAACATTAACAAACTATATCAGAACATAAAGATAAATAATAACTAAAAAGCAAAAAATATTATACTAAACATACATAAAGAATCAGGACAAAGGTGGCAAAGATTTCTTCCCTCTTCTGGTTCGGCCTCCCATGGTGCTCAGCATGGCCACGAAATGGCTTCTTCGAGCATTCTCCCTGGGTGTGCGTGGCCTTCTCCTAAAAAAGTTAGGAAGTAGAGAGGTTTCATACGAATTCTTCTAGAGGGAGCAGGAGATGGGGCAACCGCCCCTGGCCAAGAAATGCACATTCTTTTGGGTTTGTGTCCACTTTAAATTGATTAAGCCAGCTTTTTATTGTCGTTTCCCAGAAGACTTATTTTATCCGGATAAAGGCGGCAAAGATTTCTTCTGGTGCCTGTCAAACAAAAGCCCTAGGAAGATGTTGGCAGTCTTCTCTCTGAGCTATGCCTATGTCGTGCAACTGGCCACCTTCTTGATCACCATGGCTGGCTCATGCTCACTCAGCCTCTTCTTCTCACTAAACGTCTTGTAGGAAGCACTGGCACAGCTCCGTAATACTAATCCTTGTCCTTGAAAAATCCACAAGTTGAACCACACCCTGCTTTTGGAGAGTTTTGTGAGTACTCTGCTTCCTCTTCCACCTCCTTCCGGAAGCTCAAAGTCGAGGGCCTCCCTCAGGACTCAGGGCGCCTTGCAAGTGAACAAAAGACCGTCACTCTTGCGCTTGATTTGGTGCTTGGCCTCCCAAACCCAGCTCCTTTTCCACGAACAACAAGTCCCCGTTTAACTCCATGGCACCCTTTGCTCATCCATGATTCAGTGCTCTGACATGTAACAACTTCTTGTAAATCATCGGCAGTGGCAGTTCACTAAGGAACTGGCAGTGCAGCTACCTTGAAGCTTAGCTGGCCTAGCATGAAAGTTTCACATTATATAAATTGTATATTGCATTCTTATATAAATCAGAAGATCCATACATTGTGTTAGAGAAGAATAACAAATATCAAATATAATAGAAAACCTCATAAAAGACTAATAAGAACTTTAAGAAAAAGAAGGATAAAAAAAAAAGAAACAGCAAGAAATAGAACAATTATTGAGAACAAAAATTATAAATTGCAATTAAAACATGTATAGTAAAACACTTTTATTTGTCTAGAAAAATATAAAAACCTAAACCAAAAGTAAACCAAGCATTATTGTTGCCAAATGATTATATAAAAATCCTATAAAAAATTTAATTTATTCTCAATTATCCTGAAGTTTTAGTTTAGTTCATATTGAACTTTCCTTGTCCAAACACTATTTCATAACCTTGCATCAAAAAAAGCAAAATTCAGATTTTAATTTAAATATTTTTAATACTCATTTGTCTTAAAATCTTAATTTTTTTTCAAAAAGTAGATGATTTTTATGAGAGTGAAAACTCCAACACCACCAAGGAAGCATAGAAGACATACTATTTAAGAACTAGAGCCCTCTTGCCCTTGTGCTAATCCTTGCCATAGCTATTAGGAGGTTCATTTTCTTCAGGCTTGCCAACAGCACTAGCATTAATGTTTCTTTTTAACACTGCCAATTTTACTTCTTTCAAAGCCTTTCTCTTCTCCTTCACACAGATTATTCATAATCTTCACTAATTAATCATGGTTAATTTAAAACAAAGAAAAATCCAAAGATTTCCTTAATGATTGTGCTCTGTCTAACTCTCCTCTCACTCTAGAACCTCATAAACCACTACATTTTGGTTAATTTTTGGATTTTTTCTCTTCATCCCTTTTTTCTTCTTACTTGCTAGTTTAATAGCCTGATTTCTTTTACAGAATCCCCACTATCCAACATTTTTCTTGCATAGGAACAAGCTGGCCTTCGACTTCTGAAGGTAACCTGGCCTGTCTAGCACTCACTCTTCTCACCTTCCATGCTACTCTTTGTTCCTAGACAGTGCACCAAAAATGTGGAGTGAAAACTCCAACAACACCAAGATGAGTGAGCACAGAAGGACTAGAGCCTCTTCACTCCAATGCCAGTTCTTGCCAATTGTTGCCAGAAGTTCAACCAGCACTATTGTTGCTCTCCATCACCACCACTTTGGCTTCTTTCACCAAAGCCTTTCTCTTTCCCCAGTAGGACTTTGTGATATAAATTTTCCTCAGTAAAGCTAGAGTGAAGAGAACCATAACTTTTTTATTCTGTGTCCCTCACTCTCCAACATCCAGGACTTCATGGCAATATATGATGGAAGGTGAAGATGTTTGGAAAGAATCTTCCTGGAATTATAGTTTGCGCTTCCATCTAGAATTGTTGATACGACCTCCATGGCCAGGATGAGCCTTTTGGCTTTGTCATGCTCCTAAATGACTCTGGGCTCCATGACGGTGTTTGACCAAACTTTTCATGCTCACTTGCATACAATAAAGTTAGAAGACTTCAAATTCAGGTTATCCAGTAATATTCCTAATCAACAGTGCACGAACCAAAGCGCCTCGGCTTGGGGCTTCTTCGGCACTGGAGGGACGTCCTGTTGGGCTTTTCGTCTTTGCTTGCCACCTTTGTCCTGTCCCAAATCCATACACGAATCTAAGAGCCCGTCTTGTAACTTCTACTTAACACCTTCCCTTCTCTACACCTCCGACTGGCCTCCTACAAACACACACGAATATACAAACACGACTGTGAGAAGTAAAAGAAAACAAAAATTAGAAGTGATTGAACACCAGCGATAACTTACCCAGATCAAAAGCATTTTCAACACTTCCATCACTTTAAACATCCCAAGATTTTGCTGCAGCGACAGATGCCTCGACAAAGGATAGTTCTTGCGCTGATTCCGAAGTTTTGTCCTCCATAGTGAGCCTTGTCACAAAGAAATGTAAAAGCTTCACAGCAACAACCTCTTGAACTTCTGTAACGATGAAGGTAAATGAAAAGAAAAAATAAAGCTCTAGCCTTGAAAGCAAACACAGAGACCTGGCGCAGTACTTTGGAGAAGGCGGCCACTGGCCAAAACTTAACAAGCACTCAGCGTCCTTGTTTTTATTCTTTCAGTAGAAGAAAAAAAGGAAATTAGAAAAAGACGCTCGAAGATGCAAGCTTGGGAATTCTACAAAACACGGCGAGAATAGAAATCCCAAGCTTGAGAGATTCCTACTGCTGCATTTCGGCAAAATGCCTCAGGCCTACGGAAATCCTCTCTTTAATTCTACAAACTGAATAAGAAAATGTTTCATCAGCGAATTCCAGACTGTGAGGTTGTCCATCGCGACAACGAGATTGCCAAGATGCTCATATACATTTTGCTCGGTTATAGACATACCTTTTTATTAGAAATTTGTATAGCGGTGTTAGTAATGTAATAATATTATCATTCAAATTGATTAAAAATGAATTAGAGAAAAGTTTAACAGCAGAAAACCATGACTACCGGATTAAAGTACATTTTACAAAAATGCTCGAATATATTTGTATTATATTACTTACACCTTCATGAGGTGGTGTTGGAGTTATTTTAGTTACTTTTTTTTATCATTTTATTATACCACTTTAATTTTATAGTAGTTTAATATAAGAAAATAACACCTATCAAATTGAATAATTGTTGCACCTCGCCATCTCTTTTGAGGAGCCGAATTGATACTTAGCAATTTGATTTACTTTGCACTAAAAATTTAAACATGATTAAGGACGTTTACGAGAAGAATATATTTGAATATTCTGAGAAAATAAAAAAATACCAGAGTATAATATGAATAAAAGTATTAAGATATTTTATTCTATTTTTTAGCATTAAATTGGATAGTTTAAAGTAATGCATTTGTTAATAATGATTAACTCTTGTTATTTAAAAGTGCCTGAGGACCAAGTGCTCAACAAATTCCAAGTCCCATATTCCAAACACTAGAAAGTGTGCCAATATATGGTGTCTAGAATCGATATCATATCAAAGTGTCTTGACAGTAGCGAACATGACGTAGATAATGTTCCCAGTCCTATTTCATTCCCTGGTCATAATTAATTTTACTGTGTTCTCCCCTCTCAGTTGGACAGGAACAAACATAAGCATCAAAAACCGTATCCCTCGATCCATCCAGAAGATCCAGATCCAATTCCCCACTTGGCCTAAAACCATTGCCACAGATATCATTCAATCACACCATGAACTGTTGATTCACAGGCTTCTCGTCCACATCACGAACAGCTCCCACCACATCCCCACTAACATCCAGATGGTAGAGCACTGGGACGAGCGCGATCGAGCAGAGCAGCACCGGGATCGGGCCATAGATCCACAGCAGCAGCGGGAACGCCACGTAAAACGCCCTCGTCCCGATGCTGTAGAACGCAAAACCCCGTACGAGAACATCGCCCACGAACTCCGGCGTGATCAGCGGGGACCCGTACGAGGGTGGGACGTTGATGAGGTAGTTCACGTTGTTGACGAAGCGGATGGATTGCATGTAGCAAAGGAAGGAGAAGAGGAAGCATGCGAGCAGCGAGAGGAACTTCACGGCGACGGAGAAATCGTCCCTGGCGCCATAGACGGCGCTCTCGAGCGGGCGCTTGACGGAATAGTTGCTGCTAAGGAAGGCGGCGACGCCCGAGGTGAGGAGGATCGCGGTGGACGCCATGAGCGTCGAGGCCATGATGGAGTTTCGCAGCGTCTGGACGGCAAGGATATTCTTCTTGTCCATGTCCTGCCAGGCAAAGCATCTCGGTTAGTAGTGACTAATCGATCCAGCGCATTTCGTGTGTGTGCGTGAGAGAGGGAAAGGTTTGATTCTAGCTTCCATTTTTCTGCATTAAAGAACCCATGCACGCAAGCAAAAAAGCGGAAAAAGGTGGCGCATCTTTACCAAACACAGGCCCAAATTCTCTCCCACAATTGCGATCCAATCCGTTACGCACTTAATGGGCAAAGACAAGAAAAAAACTGCTGCGCAGCAAAGGCGAAGGCTATGTTCTTGATGTGCCTTGTGGGATTGCCACCCACAACTGGAGCGATGCCACATTTCTGGTTGGTAACACTGGATTCCAGGACCCAGTACAGAGATCGGACGTGGGCTGTGATCCAATCTCGGGAATTCGCCCGAATTGCCGGACCCATTTCGACATTGCAGAGAGAGAAGCATTTCAAATTTGCAAAGAGGAGCGAATGCTGAGGAGTGGGAGTGTGTACCTTCATGATACTGCGCACCCAGGCGCGTTTGGCGATGTTGTTGATGCCGATCACGGTCTGGAGCGGGTCCTTTCTGATCTTGTACAGGAGAAAAATGTGATAGGCGACGATGATGAGGATCGCGACGGGTACAAGAACCGCGTCCAGCATCGATCTGCTCCAAACCATGGTCTTGGCCGACTCTCGCTGCGAGCGATGGCTCGCGCACGATCACTCAATTTGGATGCTAGCAACTAGAGCAAAAGAAGAACTACAACAAAAACACTAGATGGTGAGATCTGGAAAGATCGTAAAGCGAAAGAGATCGCTGGAAGATCAAGAGATGGGAAACGAGCGAAGGAAGAAGAGGACGACGACGACGAAGAAGAAAACACCAGCTTGGTGGCGGTTTGCAATTGTACCGAAAGAGCCAAGAGCAAAACAAATGAGAGAGAGAGAGAGGGGGGGTTACGGCGAATTGGAGGCGAAAGCGAAGGAATCAATCAGTTATCACAACAAATGCGTGATGATCGATCGTTTCATGTGTGCGCCACGCTTGCGGCCTCCTCTTTCCAGCCACACCGCTCACACTCGCTCTAGAACTCACTGGTGGGTGTGTGTGTGTGTCGCAGTAATCTTCCTTTGGGCGGAGAAGTGTGTGGCGTATCAGTGGCGTGAGCGATCGAGAAAACTCCTAGAGACAAATGATACTCTCATAGATTTGATGAGCCCTCCCTTTTTTTCTCTCTCTCTCTCTCTCTCCCTCTCACACTACAAACTACAAACTACTGTATGGAGAACACACACACACCACCGGGGAGTCGCAAGAGCCCTAGTTTTATAGCAAAGGCCGCTATATAAAGTTTTCTTTGCGCATTTAGGAAGTGGGGGAAGCATCTTCTTCGGGATTATAGATATGCGCCCCCTTCTTTTTATTAAGTTTCTAGCCATCTTTGTGTGATTGCGAGCGATCGAATTTCAGCTCCAGTCGGACTGCAAGGGAATCCGGTCGATTCCCGCAGTGACTTTTCGCCCTTCCTCTGGTTTTAGGGCTCTTCCCGGTATGCCCTAAATTTTAAAATTAGGGCTGATTCCTCATTGTTGACTTTGAAAGTTTGTAGGTCTTCGTTTGCTGCGTCGAGCCACACGCATTGGATGGAGTCGTCGCGCTGGCCTGGCATTGTGATCAATGCGCCACGACTCGATCGAGCAGTGCGATGAGGTATTCTTCTAGAAAATCCCGTTAGATGCTACAGAGAGAGCGACGAGATCCATCAATGGGCTTGGTATGGGAGGATTTGCCCGATCTCCACTCGGCCCAGGCCGCATTCCTCGAGCTCTATCCGGAGTACCAAGCAACCTGCGCTATCGACAGCGTCAGGAGGACGGAGTATCCGCACCTGGACGAAGATCGCCATGCTTGCTTCGACTATGGCGGGACTGGGATCTTTTCCTCGCGCGAGCACCAAAACTTCGCGCTGGCTTATGCGCCGACAAGCCTCGTCTCTCACGCGCTCTACGAGGACTCCCGCTCGATCGAAGGGACGATGCGAGCCAGGATCTTAGCTCACCTCGGGCTGGACGAGCGGGACTACTCCATCGTCTTCGCGGCGGATTCTTGCTCGGCGCTGCGGCTCTTGGTCGATTCTTTCCACTTTGACCGGATTCTCCTCGGCTATGACTTTAAGAACGAAGGCTTGAGCAGGATCGAAGAGAGCGCTCGCGCTACCGGTGCCAAGGTTGTGCATGCCACTCTTTCCAGCACCGGTTTTGGTATCGATCGAAGGAGCCTGCAAAGGAAACTTAAGAAGCACAAGCGGGAATTCAAGGGGCTCTTCGCGTATCCGATAGTTTCCAGGGTGACAGGAACCAAGAACTCGGTAGAGTGGATCAAGGAAGCTCGGGATAATGGCTGGTGCGTTCTTCTCGACGTCTCTGGGATTGGAGCTGCGAGCTCGTCCATGGACTTAGCAGGATTATCTCCAGATTTTCTCGTTGGCTCCTTCTACAAAGTGTTTGGGATGGATCCAACGGGCTTTGGATGCCTCGTCGTGAAAAAATTCATGCTGGGCGATTGCTCTGGAGGCCGTGCTGCCGGGATGGTGAAAGTTGTGAAAGCTCATAGCAGTTTTCTCCAAGTTCCAGAGAGCTTTAAGCAGAAATCCGAGAGCTACGACGCAGCAGCGAGCTTGAGCTCTAGAAAAGACAATGGAATGAATCCACAGCGGAGGCTGGAAGTTGCCAAGCCAAAGCCGCTCAAAGAATCCGTCAGTGCGTCGGTAAAGTTGACGAGATCATCCGAGTTCCAAGCAACGAGATACTACTACTCTACGTCGAGAGCTTCCAGCTTCCATGGCCTCCATCACGCCGAGAAGCTGGCCAAGCTCGCAAGCATGAGACAGGACTCGCTACTCGGCTGGCTGAGAGCTTCGCTGCTGCTACTCCGGCATCCATCGCCGGGCCGTCCAGGACTCGTTACCATCCACAGCCCCGAGGACTCCGGCCCGGCTCTAGCCTTCAGCCTCTCGGACCACTCCGGCGAGTTCTTGGATCCGGAGCTCGTCCAGAGGCTCGCAAATAGGTCCAACATCTCTCTGGGGACTGGAGCGATCCAAGCTCGGCCAGCAGCGATGGAGGAAAACTCCTACTTTTGCGTGAGAAAGCTGGAGGCCTCGTCCTCAAGCGTCCAGAGCGTTCTCTGTGCGACGCTGGGACTTGTCACAACTTTCAGGGACGTGTTTCAGCTTTGGGAGTTTGTAGCACAGTTTTTGGATCCGGGGTTTTGCTCGAGGGAGCTACTCCAGTACCAGGGACTCGACCAGGAGACAGTTTTTCTATAGCTCGGGTAAGAAGTCTGGTAAATGGAATTTTTCTCTTCGTTTCCAAAGGGAATTTTTTTATAAAAAAAAGGTTTGAAGAAAATGGATCGTATTTTCCTTTTCTCCTTTCTTGGAAGACTTTCAGACTTTTTCCAAGAGTATATCTACAAAATACTGCCAAGTTTCTTTCGTTAGTTTCTTAGAAAGAGACCGTAGCACGGATAAACTACTCTACACATAAAATGTATTGCTGGAAAAGAAGAAACTCTTTTTGCGCTTTTTTTTTTTTGCTGGAGCTTCCACAGCAGGAAACAGCAAAAACAGAGAGCTGCTGCTGCTGTGCTGCAGTGTCAAAAGCAAAACAACAAAACAAGGAAAACAAGGAAAACAAGGAAAACGAAAAGAACGAAAAAAAGAGACAGCTGAGCCACCAAAAAAGTTGGAAGGAACTTCGAAGAAAACTTTGAACCTGGAAACTTTGGTGGTGATGATGTTTGATACCAATCAGCACTTGTTGTTGTTGTTGTTGGCGATGTTGGAATTCGAAACGCTGGAACTGATGATGATCGAATTGTTGATCAAGCTGTTGTTGATGTTGTTCGATCCTTCCACCGCCGAGGAAGAACTCGCGGGAGTCCACGACGAAACCGCGACCAAAGGCTTTCCCTGCCACCCCAAGAGCAGCCCTCCCTCGTCCCGGCAAACCTCAAAGTTCTTCCCGTGGGAGTGGCCCTTGATCAAGCACTCGGCCTGCATTCTCGCCGCCTCGCCCATGGGGACCGGTTCCAGGCCCCCGCGCCCCAACCGGGCCCTCCACTGCGCCAGCCTCTCGTGCCTCTCGGTACGCCGAGCGCCCTCCAGGCTGACGGCGTTAGCGATCCCGGGCGACAGAATATCCTTCTCCACGGTGAGCACCCCCGCGCCGTCCTCGGGCCCCAGCGAGTCCAGCACAAACGCGTAGTACTGCAGCGTCTCCACGAACCTCCGCTGGAATTTGCCGTCATTGTCGTCCACCTCCTCCTCCGCGATGGTGACCAGCCGGGGCGACGCCGTCATGACGGCGCTGACGGCCGCGTCCGTACCGCCCCGCGCCCCAAGCGACCGGTGGAGGCTGAACATAAAGTTGACCACCACCGGCTCCCCGTCAGTCAGCCCCAGCAGCGGCGCCGTCATCTCCCCGGCTGAGGCGCACTGGACCAGCCCAAACTGAGGCGTATGCCGCAACTGGAGCTCCCCCGCGAACTCCCGGAGGCTCTCCACCACGAACCCCAGCCGCGCCGGGTCCGGCCCCACTAGCGTCAGCCGCAACCGGGGCTGTGGCAGCGCCGCCGGCGTTCTTGCGACATCCTCCAGTAGCGCCGCCCACTGGCTGCCAAACCCGGGGTCGAAATCCACAATGTGGACGCTGGCCTCGCCCTGGATCGCCTCGAGGATCGCCTGGTTGGCGGATAGATAGGCGAAGCGGAGGAGCGGGGAGATCTCGCAGAAGCTGGTGTAGGCCCTGACCTTGGCGAAAATCTCCGCCGGAGTGGCGGTGGTGGTGGTGGCGGAGGTGGTGGTCGTGGTGGTGGTGGTGGCGGGATGATGATCGATCATCCGCGCTGCGAGGGCCTCCTTGAAGTAGAAGGCCAAACGCTGGATGCGTTTGCCCTGGTGACAGAACAAATGCTGATTGAGCCGCGCCAATATCGACTGAGCAACGTGATTGCTCCCAACGTCGATGGCCTGTGCGAGATGGAGGAGCTGATCCATGAGCCCCAGCCCCTCATCCGGCACCGATAGTACGCTTGGAATCCCTGCCCCTGCGCCTCCTCCGCCTGGATTGGAGCTCGCCGCCACAGGGGCGCCGCTGCCAAATCCCGATCCAAATGCGATGGCGCTGGGATCCCTGCCGTTGCCGCTGCCGCTGCCGCTGCCGCCGCGGCCATGGCGATGGCGATCGTCCCCGCCGCCGCGCACGCACTGGAGCTTAGGGTTTGGCGGGAGATCCCGGTGGTGTTCTTGGAATTCTTGCCGCTGCTGCTGCTGCCATGGCGAGATCGAGCGAGATTCCACTGCCAGCGGCACTGCGAATGCCGAGGAGCTGTAGGGTGCCCGGTTCTTGGAAGAAAGATCGGGAATTTCGGGGTAGTGCTCCTTCCTCTTGCGATCTAGCTCCCATCCCGGGGATTCCAGCCCCTGCTGCTGCTGCGCCTGGAAATTCCTGCTAGGCGACCGATCGATCGATCGGAGCTCGTGCCCCGGCCCGGGATTTGCTGCGAAATGGGGCGGATCCACGGGGTGGAAGAGCTGCTCCAGGCCGACGTCTTGGTGCTGCTGGATGATCCTCGGCCGCGGAGGGGAGAGGAGCGATGGCTGCGGCTGGATCGCCAGCGGCAAATGCCGGGACGCGGGAAATGCGAGCGATGGATTGGGGGCCGATGCTTGCGGGAAGAACAACGGCTCCTCCTCCTTTGCCGGGATCGCTGGGAAGAAGTGATGATCCTGTTGCGCGGCATCGCCCAGGAGCCACTTCGCGAGCTGCTGGTGGTGCTGATTCGCGGCAGCGGCGGCTCCTCCCATTCCCCCGGAGGAAGGCGAGAGGAGCATCCTCTCGAGTTCCTCCATTCCATACTGCTGCTGGGCGTGGACTTGATCGATCGGTGGCGGTGGCGGTGGTGGCGGAGGGAAGATTTCCACCTCGATCTCTCCCGGCCTGTGGCTCCCGGTGTTGGACGACGAGCACGCTGGCGGCGACTGGAAGAACACTCCCCTGTTGTTGCTCGTGAGCTCCAGCTCCTCCTCCGCCGCCGGCGGGATGTGGAGCTTCTGCTGCTGGAGATCCGCCAGCCATTCGTCCAAGCTCTTGTCTCTCGACCTCCTCGCCGCCGCTTCCTCCTCCTCTTCGCCGCTCTTCCATCCCCCCGCCGCCGCCGCTACCACGAGCCTGCTACTCACGGCGGTGTTCTTGGCGCTCTTGCTGTTCTTCCGCCGCTGCTCCTCCTCCTCCTGGTCCAGAAACCTCCGCGCCGCCTCCACGCTCTTCTCGCTCGTGTTGCTCCGGTTATCATCGAAGGAAGAGGGCGATCCGTGGTGCCCAGCGGCGGCGGCGGTGGTGGCGGCGAGCCTGGCGGCGGCGTGATCGTTGAGACCCCCCGAGGAGGATAGTCCAGAGCAGCAGCCGCCACCTTTGGAGCTCGGGCTCGGGCTCCACAGATCCAGCACGGAGGTTGGCTCCACGGCAGCGCCACCACCATACAGGCTCCCGCTTGCTGCGGAGAATGGAGCTCCGCCGAGAAGATTGAAGTGGTGGTGCTGGTGGTGGTGATCTTCGAGCTTGCGATGGAGGTGGAGCTCCTGGTGGCCGCCGCCGCGCAGGTAGTGATTGTTGAGAGCTCCGAGCTGCTGGTAGTAGTGATGGAGATGGTGGTGATCGAGCTCTCCCACCCGATGGGCACTTCCAAGCATCTTTCCTCTGTCCGGCAGAGCTACTAGGGGCCTATACCTCCTCCCTGCTTCTACAGCGCTTTGGTCTACCTATCGCTCTTCTCCCCTGGTACGCCGGCCATATCTAGAGCTCCCGGGAGAAGACCCAAGAGAGATGGGGATTGATTTGATCGATCGCTGTCACTTGGGCTGTTCCATCTCGCTGTTCTTCGTCATCATCTCGCCCAAGGATCCAGCCACGCCAGGAGGATTTGCTCCACTAGCAGCAGTCCAAGCTTCTTCTTCTTCCCGGCCCGCATCTAGAAATCCAGCGCGCAAGATCCCTTTTTGCTTGGAGTGGTGTGGTCGAGGTGGAGCTGTGGATCAAACAAGGAGGCATTTTTCTAGCGACCCAGATGAAGAAGAAAGCCAAAAAGGAGAGGGAAAAGCAGAGGTTTTTATAATTTACCGTGTGTGAGTTTGTTCTTCTTCACTCGTTGCGAGCGATTTGATTGATTACTTGTGCGGCGATCCACTTGCGCCGCCGCTGGCGTTGCTTCTCCAGCAAACCAAAGGCCTGCAGATCAACAGTGGTCGTCACTACCGGCGCGATTTGATTGTTTAGCGAAGGAGGAAGAAGAAAGGAAAAGAAAAATGGGGCAAGAGAAGCACAACTACTCAAAGATTTCCAAGTTCTAGAAAACGAGGCATCCCATCCCAGGAACAGGGACACACCAAAGCTTCGACACTATTGCAAGCAAATATCTACGCAATGCAAGCACACAAACGAGGGGTTTTCGATCGTCTCGCTCGGAATCACGCCAAAACAAGAGTACAAACCGGGGATGGATTTAACAAAGCAGTTCCATCAGCACCCCAGCAGCAGCAGTAGCAGCCCAGTAGCAGTAAGCACGACGTCCAAATCGCCCCCTCAAGAACACACACAAAAAAAAAAGGAAGAACAAAAAGGCAAAAAGATGGATTGATCGATCGCGTGGTCGCTTCTCTTTGCGCGCAAATGCGGCCAAAGCGCAAAATCCCTCACCGCGTAGCAACAAGGGAGAGAAGGAGGAGAAGAAGAAGAAAGCGATGAAGAAGAAAGAAAAGGAACACGAAAAAGATGCCTCTTTTTGGGATGTTTGGATCCCTCCAGATGCCCTCGTCCTCGTATTAGCACCAAAGTTAACAATGTTTAAGCTAAGGCATTGTTGTTTAGCAACGAGGAGTCTTCTTTGTTCTGCCACCCTAGCGCTATGGCGTCGTTTTCACACACACACACACACGCGCTTTTGCTCGCAAATGCCCAGCAACAACAAAACATCTCCTTTGGTGGCGAGAAAAGAAATGCCCAGATAACAAGAAACAAGATCGAGCCTTTTGTTTTCTTCTTGTTGTGCTGCTCATGCTTCCTCAAATCCAACGATGTTTGCTCCCTTCTTCTATGCATTCCTTGCAAGGTACGAGATACCGTATTCTATACCTTTAGTCTATAGTCTGCCACCTTTACTTATTCCTTTGTTTAGGGCTTGTCTTTTGCGGGGAATGTAGATGATCCGGGTGATCTGTGACAGGTGATTAAACTTTGCATTTGGTGGGTTTGAGGTTTTCTTGAGCAGTTTGTGATCCATCACCGGATTTGAGCACGCTGGGTTTTTATTTGAAAAAGCGGGCCTTATAGTCGCTTTTCAATTGAAAACCATGTAGTAGAGATTATTAAACAGTTTTTTTTTGTCTTCTTTTTCTTTTGGTCTGTCTTCGGTGCTTTTGCTTTCTTTTTTTTTTTCTTTGCGCATTGGCCTTTGAGCTGCTTCGCTGCTTCTGGTGTGGGGACAACACTAGCCACCATCGTGGTTTGCTTTGTTTTCTTAATACTAAAACAGTTTTAAGTGGGGTTTAATCAACATGGGAAGGTGTCAAGCAAGCATGAGTGAGTGAGACACTGACCATGAAGCTTTCTCGGTCAAGTATTATCTTTTTGAGAACACCCGGGACGTTAAATATGAGAGCAAGAATGATGAATCCTTGCTCCTCAAGCAAACGAGGTTACAATGAATAGAGAAATTTGTACTGTTTCTACGGCAAGGAGGACCGGATCAGCGTGTCTTCCACCACGGAAGCAGGGATTACAGCCCAGCTTAGCTGAGATTACTGTATCAATCAGTCCATTGTCCCATCAGTTTCAATAACAGTTGTGCCAGATTGGTTTTTGTCTCTGATTTGTTGCTTCATGGCCAGGATTGTGAAAGATGGCAAGTGGAAAGTGAAATGCTTACTTGAGGAGGTTCTCGTTTCAGAAACCCTTTAATCTGTGAAGGGGAAAAGAGAAATAAGAAAGGAAAAAGAGAGAAAAATGAAAAAATGAAAAAGATGTTGCTGCTCAGGATGAACTGACCTCCTTCTGTGTCTCTATCTATCTTGAGTGCATAGAAAATGATATCAACCCTTCCCCCCACCCTCTCTCTCTCATGTACAAATCTAAAGATTTGGTGTGTGTAATCAAGTTTGGGCCTGGATTTTGAATGTGGCTGCTGCCTCCTGTCCTGCTGCTGGCTGCCTGGCCTGGCCTGGCTGGCGGGTGTCTGGTACTGAACAATTCAACTGAAACTTCAACTTAAGCTGATCCAATTCAAACACATGCAAAGAGCGGTGTCAAGGAATTGGGTTCTTGAGTGGATTTCTCTCTAATTGTGTGTTTTGTGTTCACACTTTGAGTTGTATGCTCAATCCCCTCCCTTCTCCTGTGCTGCCTGCTGCCAGGCTCACCTTTTGCTACACACTGTCACACACTAGCAGCCAAATTATGCCTTGCAGGGACTCTGCAATTGTGCCAGGCCAATAACAAATACCTGTATGTGTGTGTGTTTGTGTGAGTCCTGGTGATTTTCTCATTGGTATAGCTGTTGTGGTACACCTTTGCCACAGGGGCATGTGTGTGTGTTGATCCATATACCCAGAGTGGGCATGCCACCTTTTGTTGATGTTTACAGGGCAATTACACACACCCAAGCTGGGCATATGTTACATGTCCAAGTGGCTACATGCCGCCTACATTGGAGTACGTTCTTGGCCACCAGCAAAATGCGTGGTTTGCCTTTGCCACTTTATAAAAAACTCCTCCACTGCCAAAAGCGCTTGAGCCTTGGGCATTGAAATCTCTCTCTCTCTCTCTCTCAATGCAGCTCACCTGGACCTCGACTCCAAGCGAGATTCTGGGACATTACATGAAAGCTCTTAAACAAAGCCTTGTGGTTTTTCTGCTGACCACCATCGCTCAAGGTGGTGGTGGTGATTTGTTTTTGGCCGAGGATGGGCAAAAGTTTTGGATCCACTATACAAATGCGAGAGATCAAAGGTGTTGTCCGACCGACCATGTCATCTCGTCGTCGTCTTCCTTGGGTCTCGTTTGCGTTTGCGTTCTTTTCATCTTTCTTGTGTATCTATCAGTCTACCGTTATGAAAGTTACAAAAGAGAGAAAGTTCGTACACATTAATGATTTCGCCACACACACACGTCTAATAATCCTGACCACCACACCCCCAGAAACTTTAAAAACCTCCCACGTCCAAAATCTCAGTCTTGTCTTGTCTTTTCCACCCTTTCGTGGCAGCCGGGTGCAAACTCGAACCCCAGACCGATTCAAAGATGGCGAGATTTGTCGCGTTGGAGATTTGGTTTGATGTTCTTCGTCACACTCCATCCACAGTTCTTCTTTCCAGTGATATTTTGGTGTGACATTATTATATGTTGGAAATCATTATTGCTTTTCCGGCATGGCTGTCGGAACGAGAACCAAAGTTTCCTCGTGGGATATACCCAGTTGTGCTACCACCACCCAAAACTTGAAGCTTGTAAGGCCATAGAAATGACAATCATAATAGTATGATAATGATTGATAATATACGCTCCAAACTCGAGCTTAATACTACTTTCACCCTACAGATGCATACGATAGAGCTATTTTATAGTTCCTGTTGCAATGCTTTGCTATTGCCTTACTTTTTCTAAGAAAACTTTGTGATCTTGTATGGTTTCCCGTTTTAATCGCTGGTTGCTGCAACGGCGTCTCCTCTGAGGTTCTTCGCGAACTTGACCCACTTGGACCTCCTCGCATCGAATAAGTTGCACTGATCAAGGATCGTGTTCATCAGCGGGAAGCCAAACTCGGCCTTGTTCAAGTGCCGGTCCCATTTCTCCTGGATCGCGGCGTATGCCTTGCGGAGATTGTAGCTGGGAATTTTGGTCGATACGTGGTGTGGGATGTGGACACTGATGTCATGGCACAAGAGATCAATCCTAGAAGAAATCGAAAAGAGATGAGCTCGCGAGCGAAAGAGAGACGGCATTGAAAGAAAGCGTTACCAGGCCGGGTAGTCGCAATGCACGGTGCCGTTAAGTTGCGCTTCCACGGCATACCACTCCCGGTTTGGCTTGAAAGGAATGTGTGGCGCGGTGTGATGAACCATCGTGAAAGTGCTCATCCAGAAATGAAAGCCCAGCCACGGTACAAGCCACCACTTGACAAATCCAACTGGACCCTGAGTTACCAGCAAAGGTGCAAGCACCAGTGCTGCAAACGCTGCCACTGCCGCCAAGCTCACCTTTTAAAACAAGGATGGAGTTTTAGATTAAAGCTCGCGGAAACAAGGAACAAAAGAAAGTTACCTTGACTTTGGGTTGCTCTTGAGGCCGGAACTTGCTCAAGTCGAAGTGCCAGAAAATCCAGTGTCCTACTGAAGCCATCCACCATAACGGACCCATGGTGGCTCTAATTACCCCCCTCACTAGAGGGCTACCATTGTCATACTGATGTGGTCTGAATGGTTGCCATGCAGTATCCATAATCAACCTGGTAAGCAGAAAAACACGCGTTTTGAGTCGGCCGAAATCACGAGCACAGAAACCACTTACTTGTTAGTGTGAGCATGGTGAGTGTTGTGTTTGATCCTCCATGGCTCGAATGGATAGATGAGAGGCGTCATGACAATGGTTCCAACGACATCATTCACGAGCTGGCTCTTGGAGAAAGAGTTGTGACCACAGTCATGGCCGATGACGAATAGTCCGGTGACCGCGGTTCCCAAAAACGCGTAGACTATTGGGTATAAGTACCATGGTGCCACCGCAAGGGCCGCGTATCCAGCAGCGACCGAAGAGACGGTGATCGCCACCGTCTTGAAAGCTTTGAAGTCATCAACCTCGAACACCTGACAGCAGGAAACTCGTAAGAAAAAATGCATTTTTTACCGAGTGATGTACCTCTTTGGGCAAAGTTTTCACAACATCGTTCAAAGAGAGGCCTTCGGGAACCTGCAAGCAACAAAACGAAGGCAAATGTGAGATTTTTGTTTCTATCGCTCTGTCAGTCACCGGTTCTCCCAGCTGAGTAAAACCAGGAATGGAGGTCTGCACTTCCTCCCGAATGGGTACAGCCACAGCACGTACGCCGACTCCTCGTTTCTTGGGATTCACCGACACATCCTGGGGAAAAAACAAGCCAAAAACAATTCAAACATGGAAAGCCAGGAAAAGCACAAAAGAATGTGCGTGTCAGTACCAAGATCTGACTGCGCGGGCTTCGCAATCGACAAAAGCCGGAGCTCTTGAAGGGGCTAGCCAAAATCCTGTCTGAGCTCTGCGCAAATTGATCGATTCAGCTGCATGCAGATGAGAAAAAACTGGAAAACTCACCGAAATTTGGGCCGAGGCCTGAAGTTGAAGATGCATGGCCGCCATCCTCAATGCAGGCACTCGCTCGTAGATCTGATTGAGCCAAAGCCCTAGTAGCGCGAGGTCACCGCCTCCACACACAGGATGGATCTCTGGCACATACCCAGAGCCCTAGCAGTGAGAGCCGTGGTTCTCCCTACAAAGACTATAGACAGATTTCGGTGCATCACCACCGTCGGCCGGTTGGCGGTCACTAAAGCTCCACGTGCATAGGAATCTCTTGAACACAGAGTGTCACCCATTGAATGCCTGCCACGTGGCAGGCACGAGATTGGCCATGCAGAATTTTAAACCTAACAAATCCGAGATTGTTTTTTGCAAAATATTTGCCGGGGCCACCCCTGTGATGTGATTTTTTGGAGGGGCTTTAGCTCCTCCTTAGGTATAACACCTGTGATTGTTTTTTAAATATATAAAAGATCCCAAGGTAGAGGTGTCTATTAAATCTGTTATTATATGTTTTCCAAGTCACATTTTCCATAATTTAATTATACTAATTTTTCTTTTTT